CCACGTCCTTGCCAATATTCATTATTTTCATTTTAAAAATATATTACTATAGTCATCCTAGTAGGTGTAAAGTGGTATTTCATTGTAGTTTTGGTTTGCATTTCCCTGATGCCTAATGATGTTGAGCATCTTTTCATGTACTTATTAGCCACTTGTACCTCTTGAAGAAATGTCTATTCAAGCCCTTGCCTAAATTTTAATGTCATTGTTTCTTTTTGTTGTTGAGCTGTAGGTGTCCTTTATACATTCTGGATATAGATTTTTATCACAGATATAATTTACAAATATTTTGTCTTTTCACTTTCTTAACAATGTTCTTTGATGCCCAGAAGTTCTTAATTTTGATGAGATCTAATTTACCTATTTTTCTTTTGTTACTCTTGCTTTGGGTATTATATCTAAAAGTCCATTGCCAAAGCAAAGGTAATCACGTTTATTACTAAGAGTTTTATGGCTTTAACTTTTATATTTGGGTTGTTTACCCAATTTAAGTTAATTTTAGTGTATGGTATAAGGTAGAGGTTTAACTTCATTCACGTGCATGTGGAAATCCAGTTGTCCCAGCACCTCTGTCAAAGAGAATATTCTTTCCCCATTGAATGGATTTGGTACCCATGTCAAAAATCAATTGGCCATAGAAATATGAGTTTACTTCTAGAATCTCAATTCCATTCTATTTGTCTATATGTCTTACTTTATGCCCTTCATGACTCTTTGAATTGCTGAGTTAACAAAACCTGAAGGCTACTATGTTAATTTTCTGTTGCTGCTAATTACTATAAACTTGGTTGCTTAAAGAAAAACACATCTTTATTTTATAGTTCTAGAGGACAGAGGTCCAAAATGGGTTTCACTGAGGTAAGACCAAGGTGTCAGCAGGCCTGAAATTTCTTTCTGATAACTCTAGAAAAGAATCCATTTTCTTATCTTTTCCAGGTTCTAGAAGCCACCTACATTTCTTAGTTCATGACCTTCTTCTATCTTCAAAGCCACCAATGGTAGGTTCAGTCTTGCATTGAATCACTAATACTTTTGCTCCATCACTCTTTTGCCTCCCTCTTCCACTTTTAAAGACTCTTCTGATTATATTTGACCCACCCAGATAACTCAGTATAATCTCCTTATTATTGGTCAGTTTATTAGCAACTTTAATTTCCCTTTGCCATGTAATATAGCATATTCATGGGTTTAAGGAATTAGGGCATAGACACCATGGGGAGTGATTACACTGCCTTCCACAACCACTCCAGTTCTGGACTTATAGTCATTTGATACAATAAATTTCCCTCTGCTTAAAGCCAATGTAATTTCAAGCTGGGCTTAATTTATTCACCATAGTCTCCCTATCACTACTTTTAGCACAATGCCTGGAAAAAAGTATGTGATTGATAAATATGATTGAAAGCTGCATTTTTTTATGTTCTTAGTGCCAGATAGTTTAGGCCAGTGATTTTCAAACTAGATCCACAGAATCCTAAAGTGGCATTTCTGTGCCTTGGGGACCACTTGAGGTAAGGAAGGGAAATTGCTGAGCAGAAGGCTGAACTGGGTCCAGCCCTGTTATTTAAACTTCCTACAGCAGTAGAATCCCTTCTTATGATAAGAAGGGATTCTACTGCTGTAGGAAGTTTAAATAACACTGAGATTAGGTCATTGACAATATAGCACAATTTCAAAATGTTAGCTTCATGAAGGTGTTGATTTTATAAGATAAACTGAACCAACTGTCTAGGTGAGCTACCCCTGTCATGGGAAGATCGTGCTTCACCTGGTGCCCAGCTGAAATTGGGTTGAGTAGAACTGGAGCATGAGACAGTCTCTTTACAACTCAGCATTCTAAATATAGTTTCCTGTTCAATCCTCAAATATTTTCTTCCAATTAAGCAATTCCTTTGGCCCAGTAAGTTTCTCAAAGCTCTTTGGAATTCAGTTGGAAATGAAGAACTGCCTTTTCCAAGCTTACTGAGAGAAGAAAAACAAGTCAGCATTATTAAGTGCTGCCTTACTCTGTGCCGGGCACTGTGCAAAGCAAGTTACACACATGATTCTTCATGTGTACCATAATCCTACAAGGTACACGGGATCTCCATCTTACTGATAAGAACACTGTAACTAATAAATCTTAAATAATCTGCCCAAGAACACAAAACTTGGTAAGAGATCTTTTAATATTTCCACCATATGCTGGCCTTAAAGACACCTATAAGAATAAGGGATCATTTGTCTTGCTGTCCTAAAATGACCCTTTCACTTACATAATGTGCAGTGTCATTCACAGAGATTTCAGATTTATGTTTAAGTGAAAAGTAAGGTATACAGACTAGAAAATCTTGATAAAGACCACACCTTCACTAAGATATAAAATTTCTGGTTAACTTTAGAATAACCAAGAAGTTATCTGTTGAGATCTCTACAAGAAAACAGTCTAATATGCTTCCCAAGTGAAGCAAATAAGCAGTTGACTAGAGGCAGTGTAACAGAGATTAACAGCCAACTCCGAGGACAGCCAAACCTGGGTTTGGTTTTAAACCCAGCTGTGTGACCCTTGGCAAACTCGTAACTCTGCTTGCTGAGCTATGTGTTCTCATATGTTAAACGGGGTGATAACAGACACATTGAGGGGTTTAGGGGGGATAATGACAATTGACAGTGCTTGAAATATTCCCATACAGTAAACACTCAAAAACATTGGCTATCGATATAATTGAGGGATTTATAAAGCTTTGGGAAATGAATTTTAAATATTAGTTTTTATCATACAGTTGCAGTAATAATTAGTAGCAGTGATAATGAATCAGTAAAATAACCATAACTCTCCCCTCTTTCTTGATCATCAATTGTTCCCTCTATAACAATCTACCTTCAACCTGCCTTCAGTCTAATAATTTACCCTACAATTGAATAAGCAGCCAGAGTATTCTTTATTTTATTTTATTTTTTTAAAATATTTTTATTGATTTCAGAGAGGAATGGGAGCGGTAGAGAGAGATAGAAACATCAACAATGAGAGAAAACAGAGGCAGAGCAACATCAAACAGACTGTCAAACTACAGCAGGAAGGCCAGGGAGGGTTGGGGGGAAGGGTAAGAGATCAGCCGAAGGACTTGTATGCATGCATATAAGCATAACCAATAGACACAAGACACTGGGGGGTATGGAAGGCTAGGGGAAGGTCAAGGGGAGGAAAAAAAGGAGACATATATAATACTCTTTGTAATACTTTAAGCAATAAAACAATTTTAAAAAATTAAAAAATAAAATTGAAAGTAAAATATATATATATATATATATATATATATATATATATATATATATATATATATTATTGATTTCAGAGAGGAATGGGAGAGGTAGAAAGAGATAGAAACATCAACGATGAGAGAAAATCATTGATTGGCTCTCCTGCACGCCCCACACTGGGGATTGAGCCCACAACCTGGGCATGTGCCCTGACTGGGAATTGAACTGTAACCTCCTGGTTCATCATAAGTTGACACTCAACCACTGAGCTAGGCCAGCCAAGAAGAGTATTTCTTATTTTAAAATTTACACCAGGTAGTGTTATTCATCTGCTTTAAAAAAAAATCTAAAAAAATCTTATAACAGCTTCCCATTTCAAATATATATCTAATATGCAAAGTGTCCCCTCAGGAGTTGGACCTACCAAGAGTTCGATCACTCGCTGTGATGTGCGCTGACCACAAGGGGGCAGCATGGAACAAAGGGAGGCCTCAGCTGACAGCCAGCAGCTGGGGAAGGAAGGCCCTGGCCAGCAGCCGCTAGGGACCCTACTCGTGCACGAATTCCATACACTGGGCCTTTTAGAATAAAATACTAAGTTTTTACTGTGGTCTTCAAGGCCCTTCATGATGTTGCCCTTATTTCTCTGATTTCATCTCCCAATATTCTCCCCCTAGCTCACTCCACTCTAGCCAGACTGAATGCCTTAGTGTTCATTGAATACTTTAAGATTTTTCACTTGCTTATCTTTTTGAAACATTGTTCCCACTATCCCACTAATTTCTATGCACCTTGCCCCTCACTTTATTCAAGGATCTGCTCAAATGTTGCACTATCAGAGAAACCTTGAAATAGTCTTCCCATATATTCATCACTCTCTATTCTTCACCTTGCCTCTTTTTTCTTCATAGTAATCATCACTACGTGGAATATTGAAATTTTTAATATCTGTCTTCCTCATTTTAAGTTTCATAAGTCCATGGAATTTGTCTTTACTATTAATTTCTATAGCCTAAAAGCATAGAACAGTACATGGCACATAATAGAAGCTTTCACAAAAAATATTTGTTGGATTTGGATCATTTGCTAAGCCCCTACTATGTAACCATTATCTTAGTTAATCCTTACAACTACCTGGAGCATTAGTATCAGAATGTCATGATTCTGACCTAAGTCTTCTACTACTTGTATCAAGTTGTACAAGTTACTTAGCCTCTCTACACCTCACTTTCCTCATCTGTATAAGAGGAAATAATATCTATTTCATAATATTGTTGTAAAGATTAAAAGGAATAATGTGTGAAGATTTTTGCACAATGCCTAAAACTAATTGCTTAACATTAATACAGATAAGAAAACTAACAATCAGAAAAGTTAAAAACCCAAAGTCAAACAAATAAATTATAAAAATAGAGAGTAGGCTAAGCATGGAATCAAAGCTCTAAAGCTGGATGATTTGCTTATTTGTGTTTGACTGGTTGTTTTTGAAACTAAATCTAGACAAGCAGCTTTCCCCCCTCCATTTGTTCCTATATCTAAAAAGCCGACTGAAGCATTTGTTTTCAAGTTTTATGAGATCCTGTTCAGGTTTCCTGTTTTCTGGAATGAGTACTATCATTTTTCTAGTTACTTTTATTCACACAACAAACATATGACTAGGAATTTATAATCTACTTGGGAACATAAGCCATGTGTGTTGATGACAAGAAAATTAGGAGAACTGAGAGAGTGCTAAGAAAATTCAGGGGTGAGTGTCATACATTTATTTCTTTGTTGGTGAGAACACCATCTTATTCCTTCCCTCACTCCCAATCCATGTGGCAGTTTCTTTGTAAAGCCCGTGCTGTGGAAACACAAATACATTAGAATAATTAACAAACATATATACTTTCCTCCTAAGTGTTAAAGATTCTTGCTTAAGTTCCTACCGGCCATTTCTCAAAATAAAAATGCATAGATCATCTTTGAGGGAGTCAACCAGAACACTTACTATTCATCTCATCTGGTTTGCACACTCTTAAGTGGTGCCTCTGGGTCCATTATTAAAGAGCTTTAATTAAAAGCAAACATGCTTGGGTTTTACTTATCTCGTGTTCAATAATCAGACTAAAGAGTTCATGAAGGGGGTTGGGGGGAGGCAGATACTATTTTTCCCAAAGCTTTTTGTCTACTTCAGCAGTTATATATATATATTTAAAAAGCCACATACATTGTGTAGGATTATTTACAACCTCTGGAGAGAATGAACATGCAGCATTAGTGTGCATGGATACTGTCATGTGTTCAAAGAAACACGCTTGCGGTGGGGCTGTAACTACAGAATTCTGAGGTTGAATTTCAGGGTTTATTGGGGTAAGGGAGTGATTCGCAGGGATGTTGATATTTTAGCATTTCCTCTCCAACATGGGAATTCAGAGATTATCCTAGGAGAAATGAAGGGGAAAGCTATATGTCTTAACTTTTCTTCTTAACAAGAGTGAATTTGCAGTGATGTCAAGAATTGGACAGTCCATTTGCCAAATTCCTGTTTTATATATGTGCTTTTTTTTTTGTCACCCTATTCCTTTCAAAAAAGGTGTTGCCAAGAGTCATTCCTGTCCCGGCGTCCAGTGCCAGCACCGTCCGAACGAGGAGCTGTTCAGTGTGCGAGGGCTGGCTGCGAGCACAGCTGCTCCGTGGGTGTTGGAAGCATTCCTGAGTGGAAGCCGCTGTGCCTCACACTGAATAAAACTGTCTGATATTTACCACCACTTAATCTACAGACCCCTCCACCTTCTATTTATGGTAACTGCACTGGGATATTTTTACTACATCTGGACTACAAATATTTTTTAAAAATGCATCAGTTAACAGTAGGGTTGGGACAATAAGACAGAACCCTTGCCATGTCTGCTTTCCCTCAGAAGCCTGGAACTTTTGCTTCCTATGATTCTATCTCTCAAAGTGAAACCCCTAGGCCAGCGGTTCTCAACCTGTGGGTCGCGACCCCTTTGGCGGTCGAACAACCCTTTCACAGGGGTTGCCTAAGACCATCCTGCATATCAGATATTTACACTACGATTCATAACAGTAGCAACATTACAGTTATGAAGTAGCAACGAAAATAATTTTATGGTTGGGTCTCTACATGAGGAACTGTATTTAAAAGGCCAGAAGGTTGAGAACCACTGCCTAGGCAAACCTCTCTAAGCCCCAGAATTTAAAAATTAGGAATTATAATGTCTACTACCAAAAAAAAGTTGCCAAGATTTAAAGCCATAACTTTTATATAGCATTTAGCACATGCAGCACAAGGGACATAAACAATAAATGCTACTTGGAATGGAAAACAAGGGCAGAGGTTTGTAAGCTAACGTGATTCCTATCCTGCTCTATCACAGATAAACTGTGTGTACTTGGCCAATTTAATTTCTACTTAATTGGAATGATTACCTATTGCTTATATGTGTGTTCAGTGATAATACAGCTAAAGTGCTTACCATGGTGCCTGGCACATTGTAAATGCTCTTTACATTAGCTATTATTATTAACTAGAGGCGCGGTGCACAAAAATTTGTGCACTCGCAGGGGGTGGTCCCTCAGCCCGGCCTATGCCCTCTCACAGTCTGGGACCCCTCAGGGGATGACCACCTGCTGGCTTAGGCCTGCTCCCCGAGGGATTGGGCCTAAGATGGCAATCAAACATCCCTCTGGCAGCCCGGCAGCCCTCGGGGGATGTCCACTTGCCAGCGGGGAGCAGATCTAAGCTGCAGTCAGACATCCTTAGCACTTCTGTGGAGGCAGGAGAGGCTCCCACCACCATCGCTGTACTGGCAGCCATCAGCCTGGCTTGTGGCTGAGCAGAGCTCCCTCTGTGGGAGCGCACTGACCACCAGGGGGCAGCTCTTGCATTGAGCATCTGCCCCTGGTGGTCAGTGTGTGTCATAGTGACCAGTCATTCCCAGTCTTTCTGGGGTTAGGGTCAGTTTGCATATTACCCTTTTATTATATAGGATAGAGGCTTGGTGCATGGGTGGGGGCTGGCTGGTTTGCCCTGAAGGGTGTCCCTGATCAGGGTGGGGGTCCCGCTGGGGTGCCTGGCTAGCCTGGGTGAGGGGCTGATGGCTGTTTGCAGCTGGTCACACCCCCTTCAGGGTTGGGGTCCCCACTGGGGTGCCAGGCCAGCCTGGATGAGCGGCTGATGGCTGTTTTCAGGTTGGCCACACCCCCTTTAGGGTGGGGGTCCCCACTGGGGTGCCTGGACAGCCTGGGTGAGGGGCTGAGGGTCATTTTCAGGCTGGCGGGCGACTGAAGCTCCCAGCCTCTCCTTTTTTTCTTTTTTTCTTTTTTTATTCTGGGTTTTATTTACCTTCTATAATTGAAACTTCGTTGCTGTCACTGGAGCTGAGAGCCGGCTCCAGCTCTGAGGCCACGGCCTGCTGAAAGCAGGTATCTGGGGTTTGTTTAGCTTCTATAATTGAAACTTTGTTGCTTTCGGAGCTTAGAGCCAGGTCGCGGCAGGCGGGAACCTTGGCTTCCTCCATCACTGGAGCAAGCAAGCCTCCTGCTCGCTTCAGCTGCATGGCTGCTGGCTGCCATCTTGGTTGGTGGTTAATTTGCATATCACCCTGATTAGCCAATGGAAAGCGTAGCGAAGGTATGGTCAATTACCCTTTTTGTCTTTTATTAGATAGGATTCATTATTTCTTGAATGCTTGTATAAATAAAACATTCTAGCATACTTTCAGGAAAATCTTCTGTGGATAAGTTCATTTACTTTCCTAGAAGAATGAAGGTTGACATGAAACTCTATTTAAGTAGGAAGGATCTCCAAACTAATTAGATCATTTTAAGGTCTCTTAGTCTGGACACATACATCCCAGCAAGTATGTATAGAGACATACCTGATCCAAGTCCTATTAAGAAGCCCATAAGTTCTCTGAGCTTTCAGCTGTTTTCCCCTAACACGGGCAAAATGACAATGGAAAGAAAGCTCTTATTTGGGTCTCTCTGGGCTCTTGCCCTCAGCTAGTCCAAGCTCCTGAACCAGTTCCTTTGGCTCCTTGTCAGGATATCTCTGTACTCAGCTTTCATGAACTCATGCCTCCTTCTGCTGTAGCTATATTTTTGGTCTGTAGTTCTCCTAGAATCCAGAGTCATTTTATCTTATGGACATGCTTGTTTTACTATCTCCAGTTAACTCTTAATCAAAAGATACAGACACACAAAACCTATCATTCAATGCACGTACACAAAGACAAACCCACCAAGAGACCCAATGCATGCAGTCAAAGCAACTGGAGAGAATTCACTGAAGATGGAGATATAATTACAAACCTTCCAGCACCAAAGGGGTTTTATGGTTGTTCCTGTGTTCAGTGAAGGATATGATATAATGAAAAAAAAATTTACTTCATGAGGAAATTGCTGCATGAAAACCAATTCAAACATATTGGTCTGGGTTAGAGCATCAGCCCACCGATGGAAGGATTTCAAGTTCAATCCCTGGCTCCAGAGATGGCACATGTGGGAGGCAACCAATGGATGTGTCTCTCTCATGTCAATGTTTCGCCAATGTTTCTCTCTCTCTCTCTCTCTCTCTCTCTCTCTCTCTCTCTCTCTCTCTCCCCCTCACTCCCACATTCTCTGAAAAAAAAAATCAATAGAAAAAATATCCTCAGGTGAAGATTAAAAAAAATAATAATAATTTTAAAAATATGTAAGTTTTAAAATGTTTTGAAAGGAACTTAATTCATTCACTTTTCAACAAATATGTGGAAAAATAAGAACAATGGCTAATAGCTCTAGCTGGTTTTTCTCAGTGGATAGAGCATCATCCTGCAGACTGAAGGGTCCCAGGTTCAATTATGGCCAAGGGCACACGCCTGGGTTGAGGGCTCAATCCCCAGTAGGGGGCATGTAGGAGGCAGCCAATCAATGATTCTCTCTCATCATTGATGTTTCTATCTGTCTCTCCTCCCTTCCTCTCTAAAATCAATAAAATATATTTTTAAAAAATGTAAAAAAAAAGAATAATGGCTAACATTTATTGAAAATTTTCTATGTGTCAGTTATTCTAAGTACTGAAAAATTATAATCTAATAGGATGTTGATGATCACAAGATCTCTACCTTACTAAGTAAACTGAGGTAAGAGGGGTTAAATAATTTCCCCAAAGCTGCAGGATTAGTAAATGAAGAAACTAGATACTTACCATGTGCAAGGCACTTTCCTGGAGGCTGAGGTTACAAAAGTGATAATATGTAGTCCCTGCCTTCACAAAGTTTATATTCAAATGAAAAAGCCAAAAAAAAAAAAAAGTGAACAGATAAAATAATTTCAAAAAAGCACTAGAAAATGAATAGAAAATGAGGAAACTGCTTTTGGTAAGGTACTTGTTATGGGCCAAATTATGTCCCCTCAAAAAGTCATATGCTGGAATTCTAATCACAAGTACTTCCAAAAACTAAGGCACCAGAGATGCTAAGTTACTAGTCCAAGGTCACACAGTAACAACGAGTCAGAATTTCCACCTAGTTCCTCTGGTACCAAAGCCAACATTCTTTCCATTATACCAGCATTTCTACTTAACCAATTTTTAAAAGGCTTTAGGAATCATAAGGCTATATCTACGCAAGTATGGTAGTTGAGAGTTGAGAAATTATAATCAGGGTAGAGAGTCCTTCATTTCTTCACATGCTTCACATGCCTACCCCTACAGCTCCCTCTTCTTGTCCTCAATAATGATGGTGTTATATTATGGGTTTTATTATTTTTTTAATGTTTTCATGAATAAAATATTTTAATTGCTTTAATCCCCCTTCACTTTAATTGGGTAGACCCATGAATCCCCTTCAAAATGGCTTGGAACTTAACTGCAGCCTTTGCAAAATGGAAACTCACCAACTACCTCCAGTGCTTGCCAGCAGAGCATGGGGACGTGGGGTGGGCAAGGGAGAGTTCCATGTAACACATGCATTCTAAGTACAAAATTACAATAATTAGAGATGGCAAAGACTGCGCAGTCTCTCTCCAGGAAGGTCAATGAAAGATTATGAGAATGTTTAGTCTAGGCCTGGTCCCATTCTCCCAAGGCCACATAAAGTGAACAAACCATAGGAGCCTTTTCTAACAGACTATTACATGATCTAATTAAATGTAGTTTTAGCATATTTGCATCATCATAACCCATAACTCAATCATATTTCACAATCACTTCTTCCCACGGAAGCATTGGAGAATCTGAAAATATGAACAAAGCACACTGATTATCTATTAGAAGTCATTCAATAATATTATTTTTTTCTTTTTTTATTGTTTAAAGTATTATATATGTCTTCAATAAATATACTATGGAGAAGTCCCTCTGCTAGCACTGTGAAGATTATAAAAATAGTTAAGAATAAGGCTAGCCCTCAAAATGAATTTGTAAAACTCTAACAGAATGATGTCATCTTTACCTATGCCTATAATTTGAGGCAGAATTTATAAATTGTGGAGGAAAGTTTCAGATAATAAAGGGCCAACTTTCAGATAAAGAGGGAAAAATGAGCAAACATAAGAAAAACTGAAGGATTTTAAGGGGACAATTTTATAACAGTTTGCATGTCAGGCTGAGAAGCACTGGCTCTATTTTGTAAGCAATACAGAGCTAGCAGAGGTGTTTAAATAAAGGAGAGTCTAACAGTGAATGCCTGTTAAGCTAGGCACCAAATATGGCCTATTATGTATGAATTTATATTTTGATCACCACAATCCAAACATTTACTACATACTGACATGAGGAAACTGAGGCTTTAGAAAGTGTAAATAAAGAATCAGCAATGGAGACTGGTGCAGCCACTGTGGAAAACAGTATGGCATTTCCTCAAAAAAATTAAAAATGGAACTACCATTTGACCCAGTAATCCCACTTCTAGAAATATATGCCAAGAAAACAGAAACACCAATCAGAAAGGACATATGCATCCCTATGTTCATAGCAGCATAATTTACAATAGTTAAGATTTGGAAACAGCCTAAATGCCCATCAGCAGATAAGTGGAGTAGAAAACTGTGGCATAGCTACACAATGGAATACTATGCTGCTGTGAAAAAGAAGGAATTCTTACCATTTGCAACAGCATGGATGGAACCAGAGAGCATTATGCTAAGTGGAATAAGCCTGTCAGAGGAAGATAAATATCACATGATCTCACTCATTTGTGAATATAAAGAACATCATAAACTGATGAACAAAAATAGGTACAGAGACAAAGAAGCATCAAACAGACTCAAACTACAGCAGGAAGGCAGGGAAGGGTGTGTGTGTGGGGTGCAGGGCGGGCGGGAACGAGATCAACCAAAGGACTTGTATGCATGCATAACCAATGGACACAGACACTAGGGGGCGGGGTGAGAGCATATGCCGGGGTTAAGGGAGGCCGGGGTTATCAATGGGGAAAAAGGAGACATATGTACTACTATTTGTAATACTTTAAACAATAATAAAAATAAAAGAATCAGCAATGGGAATGACATGAACAGAATTACACTCTAGGAGATAAGTCTAGCAACCATCTAGGAAGAACTCTCATTTATTATCAGAAACATGTAAGTGGGGAAAAGATGACTTAAGATCAGGATAATAACATGCTGAGTTTGGAGTGAGTAAAAGACGGCTAAGTGGAGATTTCCAAATAGCAATTTTAAAGGTAAAGATGGATTCGAATTGAGAAGTCAGAGTTAGATCAGACTTGAAAGTCATACCCATAGAGATAAGAAAGCCATGGAAAACACAGGGTTGTAAAAGAGCAAATTACAAGAAGACGGTGGAAGACACAACTCTGGGAAACACTACCATTGAGGAGGCAAGAAGAATAGAGCAAGTCAGTGAAGCACAGAAAAATGGGAAAGTGAAAAAAATATTAAGATAGAACATGGCAAAGCTCAAATTCTCACTATAATAATCAGAATTCTATCTACAAAGTTGGAGATGAAGAGAATGGAGGAGGATGAGGAATAAGGACTCAAAATATGTGCAAAAGATTTGGAAGAGGTGTTGTGCAACAGGAAGTCAATCTAATAGGAATGAAAGTAATGTCCAAAGCAGCAATGAGGTCCAACTACCATCAAAACAAGGATTTGAGGGGGAGTCAGGGAGAGGGACGTTGCTACCTTTTCTGGGAGCACTGATACCTATGAACACAACAAGACAGGTAGAAAAGTAAGGAGAATGGAGGATTGTGGAACCCATCCTGGAGCCCAGACTGAGAAGAGAAGCAAGTGAATTCTGCATTTCCCCATTGTCTCTGACAGTCCCAATTATGGCTGAAGTGATATTTTTAAATGCAAAAGATCAACAGGACTCAAAAGTTTTAAAAACTCAAAGACAGCATCCAAACCTATTTTGTTTCCCTAGGGAACACAAGTACATCAGCCATGCCAAAGGAAATAAAATATCTACCTTGTTCAACGATGTTCGATTTAGCCAAACTTCCCCCTGTGATTACTGAGCTATGAACCAAATTCTGACTTTATATAAATCTGACTGGCCTTTTGACTATTTTTTGTGGAAGGCAACTTGATCAGATAGAAAGAAACCAAGTTTGGAATCAGAAAAATTCACAAGTAGAATATTTACTTTATCATTTATTAGTGGTGTGGCATGAGGAGGTTATGCTTCCACTCTGAGTTCATCTTCTTAGAGACAGCATTATTATGGCTTTTTTTCAGTGAGGTGGCATATGTAAACCAACAAATATTTATTCTAACAAATCTATTATGTGCCTTTAATAAATAAGACACTAAAATACAGTTCTATACTTAAAGAACTAACAGTCTACTAGAGATAACAGGCATTTAAGGACATACATATAATTGTTATATAATAAATATAACAATAGAAATAAGCAGAAGATGCAGATGGAAAATAGAGGTGGGAATGAATATCTATTTTTAAAGGTGTGCAGGAGGGTAGGGCTTTAGGGAAAACTTTCTGGAGAAAGAGACATTTCCCATTTCCAAATGCTCAATAGATGTTCCCACCTCCTTACATACACATTTGTAGATAAGACCCTGAAAACCTTAAGACTGCTACTTTCAAAAGATTATTTCAGGAAAAAAAAAAAGGAGTTGCATAAAACCATAATATCCATGTACTTTTCTCCTCTTTATTCTCTTCTAGAACCCTGGGATTTTAAAACTGGATAGGAACATAGAGATCCCAATCCCAATCTCTAATTTTACAGGTGAGAAAGTCAAAGCCCAGAAAGCCCAGAATGATAATTATCCTTGGAGCAGTGATAGCGCTGCTCCTCGCTCGCAAGGGTTAGCCAGGCCTTTCTTTCACTATAATCTTGCTATTGTCTACATCTCATCTACTCCAAACACCTTCTTTCCTCTGTCACTTAACCCTCCATTTCCTGAGAAATTACATTAAATAATTCTGAGAGGAAATGATAAATTGTCTATCTTTGTTAATGCTGATGATAGCCACTCTCTTCAGGTTACTTTCCACTTTTTTATAGATCCTCAACAGGTTCTAGGCAAATAGCACGAATAGTGCTTTGACCTGTAACCGATGTGACACAATGGGCAATGAAAGCATTTTCCATGCAATGTTCCTACATTTTGAAGCCTGACACATGAGGAAAAGAGACTACAGTTTCTGTCAATGGTTTGATTTCTGAGATACCCACCTCACTGAAATCCAGGCTTCGGGGATGATCATCCTGACTGGTGAAAACATATCCATGACACTTTTGGAGAATTACAATGAGCCCGAAATGTTTTTTATTTTGTATTTAAACTTCCATTTCTCAACATGTAAAATACTTTTCTAAAAGTCTTGCATTTGTTATTTTCTTTAAGCACTGTCTGTAATGAAAATAAGAAAAGGCTTATTTGGATTCTGCCAAAAGGACTAAGAAAACAAGGTAAAATTCTATAATTTTAAGTTAGTTAAGGCTAAATCAAGTGTGTGCTCTTGGCTTATTTAAATGGCTGTTTTTGTTTTTTAACTTGGCCAACACTGACTTTGGGTGTCTGCAAAGCCCAAATTTGCTAGATATTTGTTAACTCTACCATTCACTCCATGTTATAAATATTTAGCTAAAAACATACACATAAGCCTTCTGAATTTGCATGATACATTTATTTATAGACAGTGTAAATTCATGATTGAAAAAAAGAAAGAAAACATGCGCTCAAATTGGTCAACAGCTCTCCTTCCAACTTTCTGTAAGAGAGGCCTGATAATTTAAACATCCACTCTTTACTTATCTCAAGAGTTAATTTTACTATAACTATTTAAAATTCCTAAGTACAAGAATATGCAAAGTCATATATTTCCAAAAGGGATGCAAAGGATGGGAAGATATTTTTGTTTACCTCTTGCATGTTTGCAAATGTTCTTTCACAACTACATATGTCAAACAGTATTCAAGCATTATGATTAAGTGTTCCTTGTCTATTTTATAGGAAATGATACCTTTTTACCATATCCCAATGGTCTCTGAGCACCTAACAGTTTACCATGCAGCTATTCATAAAAAGGAATTGGAGGGAGGGGGAATATCTGACATTAAAATACAAGCCACCTTATTAGGGATGATGAAAGATGACTTAGAGAAAGTAAGGAATGCAAAAACGTTCTCTATCAGTACAAAGAAAAAATAATGGATGTTTCCTCAAAACAAGGAGAATATCAGCTATACCCAGTACTTGTCTAATTCACAGCTGTCATAACTTTTTGGTTCTCTTTTCTATTCCCATCCCACCTCTGGAAAATGATCTATTCATAGTGGAGGATAAAGGTTACAAAATAAGACTATTATAGAAGGTATACAATTTAGTCATTATATCCTACATCTATATAATTTCTATAACTGTTTGATATAAATAATAGAAAACACTTCAGTATGTTGGCTCTGTGTGTTTCCCTATTATACCATTGTAAGTTACAATCATTCATTTCTAGCCTAAACTTGGTTTTTGTACATGGTATTAAAAGCCATAGTCAAGTTAGATCAAATTGGGTTATACTTTATGCAAGAGTCATCTAAAAGTTTAAATATACAAAAACAACCATCCCTCAGAAGCTAACTCATATAATTATACTTCTCTAACTTCCATAACTTGTTATTGGCATGCTATTTCTTATGTTAAAATTCTTGCTAAGCATCACTTATTTAGAGACAAGAAAATCTAACAGATGTTTTGTGTTTTGCCAGTGTACTGTTCAAATTCCTATTTCTCAAAGATCTATAGCCAAAGAAGTTCAAGTGAACTATAAAAAAAACCTAGCAATATGAAATGGGATTTGTCACCATTACATTCCACATGGCAGGCAAGCTGACTCCATTGTGAATTTTTTTTAAAAAAAAAATTGAACTACTTGAGAAATAGTTCAAGTTTTAAAACTCTACTACAAATGCATGTGTTTATCAGTAATATTGTAAATGGAGTGTTACTCACATAAAGTGACAAGGCAATTAAATTTTATTGGGCTCGGTTACATAATGAAAGGAGAGCTGAACCTGCAGCCAAAATAATTAAGTTTGAGTCCTCTATTGATGTGTTGTGTGACCTAACACAAGTCACTTAATTTCTCTGTATTTCAATTTCTCATCTGTGTTTTTTTCATTATCAAATGAATCTAATTTAACAATAAGTAAGGTAGGTGGAGAATATTTGGAAACACCATATAAATACAGATAATTACTATTGTTATTTCCCAGGCATTTCAAGAAAAGGATTCTTGGCTTGTGTTGCAGATATTGCTGTGTACATATTTACTAGTATAGACAATTCAATAATTTGTTCAACTTATAGTTTGAGTTTAGAATCATATGCAGAGCTTGCCCTTTCCAACACAATCTACGTAACACAAAACATGGAGGAATACGTGGACATGGAAATCTCTACATGGCCAAACTCAAGCCAGTTTAGGAAATCTCAGTGTCAATTAGCAAACTCTCTAAAAATCTGAAGTTTCTTTATTATTGCTTCAAATAGCCCATTAGTTTAGAAAAGCTGGTCATCATTGTTCTGGAAATCTCACCCTGATTCACTCACTACTGAAAACCTCGGCTATTTCTCAGTCTATTCAACCTGCTATAATAAAATACCACAGGCCGGCTGGCTTATAAACAACAGAAATTTATTTCTCAGTTCTGGAGGCTGGAAGTCCAAGATCAGAATGCCAGCATGGTCAGGTTCTGGTGAAAGCCTTCTCCCAGGTTGCAGACTTCTCTCTGTGTCCCCAAAGGGTGAATGGGCAGGGGGCTCTGTGGGATCTCTTTTATGAGAACACTATTCCAATTCATGAGGGCTTGACCCTCACAACCTACTAGTAATCACTCCCCCAGAGGCCCCTAATGCCATCACAGTGCGCATTAGAATTTCAAAATATGAATGGGAGGCATCAACATTTAGACCATAGCACCTTCCAACTGTAGCCATAACAGAAAGAAAAAACTGAAAGTCAGAAATTGTAAAAATTTAGTAATTTCTCCAAACAAAAGACATATCTGAAGATATTGTCTGTTTCTAATATCAGGTGCTAGCCAATTTTTTAAGAAATTAGTGTCTGGTTATATTTCATTATTCAACCTACCCAGCAAAGTAAACACTGCAGTGACTTTAGAAATACAATATGAAGGGAAATTAAGAAATTATAACTAGCCAGAATATCTTATTAGAAACAGAAAACATTTTGAATATCCCACAAGTAACTTTAGTGCTCTTCACTACAGAATAAGCCATAGTGATGGCCCATATTGTTAGGTATGTATGTAGGTAGGTAGGTATGTAACATTACTGGTAAACCTTCAGTGGAAGCTCTATACTATATGATTAAAACCCCCATGTAAAACAGGAAGCCCAGTGTAATGTCATCGTACTGTTATAATTCCAAGACAAAAAGAATGCTAGAAGTAAGCTAACTAGCTTTTATTGCAAAACTAAAATGAGATTATAATATCTTCTAGAATACCAACAGTCTTCTGCTTCTTTTGTATGTCTCCTAACACCTAATTGGAAATATATTACAAATGTACTAAATGGTTATTGCTATGATCTGAATGTTTGTGCCCTCACCAAATGCATATGTTGGAATCTTAATGCCCAATGTGATGGTGTTAAGAGATGGGGCCTTTGGGAGGTCATGTGGGTGGAGCCCTCAAAAATGGCATTAGTGCTCTTATGAGAGACCTCACAGAGCTCTCTAGCCCCTTCCACCAGGTGCTAATACAATGAGAAGTATGCAGCTCACAAGAGGACCCTCATTCAACTAGGCTGTCACCCAGACATCAGACTTCCAGCCTCCAGAACAGTAAGAGATACATTTTTATTGTTCCTAAGCTCCTCAGTCTGTGATATTTGGTTATAGCAGCCCAAACAGACTAAGACAGTTCTTGATGAAATAAAGGCTACCATAAGCAAGATTTCAGGAACTTGGATTTACATATAATTAATGTAATCTGGGATGACATATTGTAATTAATCAATGGTTTGAAATAAACAGTGATGTGTATCCCAAACAGTTAATGTCATTAGTTAAATCATTAGAACATACTAAAACTTTCCAAAATAAATTGGATTTTTATTTGCCAGACACTATTAAAACCTTTATATGTATTAACTAACTTAAACCTTTCACAACCTGTGAGGAAGCTAATATTACCCCACTTTATAGATCAGAAAACTAGTCACACGGCTTATAACTGTGGAAACCAGGATTCAAATCCAGATTGGCCTAACTCCATAGCTAATACTCCTAACTATTACACTATAACTTCCTCCCTTTATGGACTCATGTCTCGGAATACCAATTATTATGGCATGAAATGCATAGTAGAAAAACACCTGCAATTGACATAATGCTGAGGGAGTAAGCTTTATTGCTCCAAAATCCATGTCCCCAGGGTTCAAAGGCTGGTGGAACAACCAAGGGAAAAATCTCTGGCTAAATCTGGCTAAATGAGGCAAACCCTGAAGCACCTGGCAGTGGGGGCAAGCCAGAAAATGTTGATCCAATAACCTGCCTGTCTATAGCAGCTAATCTTCCAGCAAGATGAGCTGACTGCAACTCTGATGGGAGGCAGCTGTGCAAGGTTGCTTCTGCGTAGCCAGATTTCTATTACTGTCCTTTTATGGTGGAACGTTGTAAACTATCCTATGCTCTAAGGTCAACAGCAGTTTCCACAGGCCTTTCTAGTCACTGCCAGGCCAATTGACTGGGGACACATGGCTAAGAGAGCAAACTAAGCAACTTGAACATAAGCTTAAGAGCTGGAGTGTGTTGCCTGCAAGAATGCACACCCACCAGACTTCCAAAACAGATGTGCTAGCACACAGCCAGACTACAAGGTTTGCTTTCCTCTGCTTCACATGTTGGCCAGGATGAAGAATATGGTTGCCAACAACAAACCAACCACCACAGCTGGAATGTCCAGCAACTTCAATCTGAAGAAATATTTCAGAACATTTATTTCACTCCATGGTCCTTTTCCATTAGTTATTTAAGAGCTTTTTAAACTAAACCCCAATAAATTCCTTAAAGAATATTTTATTAATATCTTTCTCCATGGTAAACTGAAAGTGATCTTGAAATCCCTTTAAAATAAATGCTATTTTTTCATTCAAGTGAAAGGAAAAATAAGATAATTAATAGGAGAAAAAATCAATTTGGAATGCCACTCTTTAAAATATTAAATGCTACATGACATCAATGCACTCACTAATGAAGAAAATATGTTTGTTTGTATGTTTAAATAATAGCAATGAATGTATATTATATAATCAGAAATGCAATTTGCATAGGTATTTTTTTTTACTCTCTTGAGCTTGGTAAATAGGTTTCAATTTATGGCTTTTCCAAACTATATAAATTAACTTTATTTCATTTAAGTGGGTAAAAAGATATCACATGTACATGAATATTTTTATACAACTCATAGAGTGAAAAGTACCTTTTAATAACCATTACATCAGAAAATCAAGTAAAAATATACTTACCTTAATTTTTAAGCAATTTTTAAAAATATTCCCTTTAAATTCCCAGAAAACATTTCTCATTCATTCATTTAGCATATCATCTATTATGTAAAAAGTATATACTGGCATTTTAATTCTCTTCATCTAAAGATCATTATAATTTTCTACCCAACAGAAATACTCTAAGACTACAAAACCTTCTTACTTCTATCTTTACATGTAAATCTCAAAAATAATTTAATTACATTAAATTGATTATATTAAAATAATTATTACATTTGAGGCTATGATTTCCCTCTGTGATAGTCAGATTAATTAACAAAGCAGCTCCAAAGATTTCTCATAGCAATACTAAAGGGAAGATCTGCAAAGGTGAAGAAGATGCTTGTACATGCCAAACCATGTCTTCACCAGGAGAGTCCTTTGAGAGTAACTGAGTCTGCTTCCACATTCCAGACTTTCTTATCTCCTCATATCTCTGTGAGGTAGAGATCAGCAGAATGCAGTCACCGCACACATTTCTGCACTGACACTTCTTGGGTTTGAATACCAGCTTTGCTACTTACTGGCTGGGCGACCTTGGCCATGTTGCTTGACCTTTCCAACTTGAGTTTCCTCTTCTGTAAAATGGAGCTAAAAACGTACCAATCACATAAAGTTATTGTGAACATCAAATGAGATGATGCAAGTAAAGTACTTAATAAAATTACTGAGAAGTAGTAAATAGTCGCTGCATTTACATTTTATTATGATCTCTATAAGATGACCCAAGAGAGTTGAGGAAGGCATGTTTACATTAGTGAGTAGAACAGATGGTAGGAATAGCATTTAGGTTTAATGTTGTTTCTAATGATATACAAAAGTTGCACTTGAATAATGTCATTCAAAAATGAATTAAAAATAAAATTGTCCTTTCATAAGAAGGCAATCATTAAAGACTCTAACAACATTGCTGAAAAAATGTATGTGAGGCAGGTAGGGCTAGGCATTCTCAGGAGAGTACACTTTTCCATTAGCTTTGAAAAAGGTGAATAGGGAATGATGCAAAAGAAAGCATTTCTGAAATGGTGAAGTAAAACTCAGAAAATCCACTCCTTTATAAAAGCAATGCAAACATTAGAAACACTTGCCAAAACCAACATTGTCAGAACTCAAAATTAACTAAAGGTTTGCAACAATCCAAGGAGAGTTTATTTAAAAAACAATAACAATGATAAAAGACAATTTAACTAACCACTAAGCCAAATGAACAGAGATTTGCTTGAGTGGCCACATACAATAAATACAGATTTTACAGAATTAATCCCAGAAAGTCACAACAATCAGAAACAACAATCAATAGCAACAACCCTCCTGGAGAAAGGAGGGTCTGACTTCAAAAGTTCATATAATATTTTAAATTCCGTGTTTTGTTTGGTAGTTACAAAATAGTCATGGAGATATAAAGTACAGCATAGGGAATATAGTCAATAATATTGTAATAACTATGTATGGCACCAGGTGCATACTAAAAATATTAGGGGAGACACTTTGTAAAAATATATGACTATCTAACCCAGTGGTTCTCAACCTTCCTAATGCTGTGACCCTTTAATACAGTCCCTCATGTTGTGGTGGCCCCCAATTCCATTGTTACAAATTGAACATAATTAAAGCATAGTGATTAATCACACAAAAAATATGTAATTATATATGTGTTTTCCGATGGTCTTAGGCGACCCCTGTGAAAGGGTCGTTCGACCCCCAAAGGGCTCATGACCCACAGGTTGAGAACCACTGATCTGACCACTATATATCTATAACTAATCTATATACAGTGGGGCCTTGACTTATGAGTGTCCCGACTAACGAGTTTTTCGAGATACGAGTCATCTCTCGGCCGAATTTTTGCTTTGAGTTGCAAGCTAAAATTTGGGTTATGAGCCAGCTTCAGATACCCCACCGCGAGTTGGTACAGCGAACGTCACAGTGAATGCCACAACATCAGCCCAGCATCACGTGTCTCACTCGTTCACTTTTTGATTTGACATATGAGTAATTTGAGTTACACGCTCCGTCACAGAACGAAGTAAACTCATAAGTCAAGGCCCCACTGTATATAAAAGGCTAATATGTAAAGTGTCCCCTTGGGAGTTCAACCAGGAGACCAGGAGTTCGCTCGCTCGCTATGACATGCACTGACCACCAGGGGGCGGCACAGAATATGGTGGGCAACCAGCGGCGGCAGTGGGGTGCTGAGGGAGCGAGGGAAGGAGGAGGCAGGGAGGCAGGGAGGCAGGGGGAACTTCGCAGTGGCTGTGCACAGTTCGCAAGGGAAGGAGGAGGAGGAGAACCTGATTGGCCCTGATTGCTAGCCAGGCCTAGGGACCCTACCTGTGCACAAATTTCATGCACCGGGCCTCTAGTATACAATAATATTGAATGTAAATTGTAATTGAAAAACAAAATTTTATAAATAATAAATAAATGTTTTTAAACAAAAAACTATGAGACATGCAAAGAATAGGAAAGCATGAACCATGGCAAGTAGAGCCAACAATATAAATTATGTCTGAGGAAGTTCAGATAAAATGAGAATGGTAATCCTCAAGCCAACAACTAAGAAGCTCAATGAACTTTAATTATATAACTCAAAGAGATCCACACTTAACTAGCTCATAGTCAAAATATTGAATACCAAAGACAAAGACTATTCAAGTAGCAAGAGAAAAGCAACTCATGACATTCAAGGGATCTTCACTAAAATGAACAGCTGACTTCTCAACAGTAACCATGGAACTCAATACATAGTAAGAGGACATATTAAAAGTGTTAAAAGAGAAGAAATGCCAACCCCAAATTCTATAAACACCAAACTTATCATTCAAAGATGAAGAAGAAATTAAGACACTTCATATTTTAAAAAACAACAGATATTTTGTCATTAGCCATACAAGAAATAGTAAAGGAAGCCCTTCGGTCCAAAATAAATGGATACCAGATAGCAACTCAGATCCACACAGAGAAATAAAGAGCACCAGTAAAGTTAAGTACATAGGTAAATAAAAAGACTATAAATAGGTATTTTTGTTTGTAACAATTTTACTCTCTTATTTAAAAGACAACAGCATAAAGCAATATATATATGCTGATATGTGTATGTATAAAGATATAATTTGTATGACAATAGCACAGATGAGAAGGGAATATAGCATTATTACAGCAAAGTTTTATATATCTATAATAATAGAAGCATAATATACTAATTAGACTGGATGTCCTTCCTGACAACCTTCCAGACAAAGCCAGGGCTGTGAGGGAGGTCCAGGTCCCTGGTGCCAGTGGGAAGCCGGTGGCAGTAGCCAGGTAAAGGAAGGTCTACTCTTGCATGAATTTCATGCATTGGGCCTCTAATTATTAAAATAAGTTGATATTAGGAAGCAATTAAGAAAATTACTCAAATATATATATATATATATATATATATATATATATATATATTATAAAAGAAACAAGTAAATTAAATTGGCATGCTAAAAAATATCTATTTAACACAAAAGGTTGAACAAATAGAAAAAAGAAGAGGAATAAAGAAGACAAGATATATAGAATACAAACAGAAAAATATTAGGCATTTTTCTTTCCTACCTTATCATAAACTTATATTAAATATAATTGAATTAAATGTTCTAATCAAAAGGCAGAAGTTGGCATAATTGTTTTTAGAAAATGATGCCAATATATGCTGTTTAGAAGAGATACTCTTCAAATTCATAGACACAAGTTATATGTAAAAGAAATGAAAATTATTACCATGCAAATAGTAACCAAAAGAGGATTCAAGTGACTAAACTAACATCAGACAAAACATACTTTAAGATAGAAATGATTGATAGATGCAAAGAAGGACATTTGATAATAATAAAAGGACCAATCAACCAAGACAAAAATAATTATAAACTCATATACTCTTAACAACAAAACCTCAAAATACATGAAGCAAAACTCACAAACTGAAGAGAGAAATAGACACATCAACAATAATAGTTTAGGGACTTCAGTATCTCACTGTCAATAATGAAAGAATTAGAAGAATAGCAAAAAAGTAGAAGACTTGCACAATACTATAAAACAACTAGACCTAAAAGATATCTATAGAACATGCTACTCCTCTTTAAGTAATTAGAAAAAGAAGAGTAAATTGCACTCAAAACAGAAAGGAAGAAATAATAAAGATTAGAGCAAACAAATCAATATAGAGAATAGAAAAGAAAATTTTAAAATCAATAAAAACAAAAATTAGTTCTTTAAAAGGTCAATAAAATTGACAACTTTTAGTAGTCTAACCAAGAAAAAAAAGACTCAAATTACAGAAATAAAGAATGAAAAGGGGGAAGAACCAACCTAAAATAAAAATGATTAAAAGGGAATACCAAGAAAAACTGTATACCAAAAAATTAGGTGACCGAGATAAAATGAAAAATTTCCTAGAAAAACACAAATTGCTGAAACTAACTCAAGAATAAATAGAAAATCTGAGTAAACCTGTAGCAAGAGACTGAATTCATAACTTAAATATTTTTCCACAAAATAAATTCCAGGCCAGATGACTTTACTGGTAAATTCTACTAAACATTTTAAGAAAAAATAATATTAATCATTCAAAAAAATTTTCATAAAAAATAGAACCAGAGGGAACACTTTCCAAGTCATTTTATGAAGTCAATATTACTATGATATGAACACCAGAAAAAAGACATCACACACACAAAAAAAACTATAGGCCAATATCCTTTATGAATAAAGAGGTAAAACTCCTCAACAAAACACTAACAAACCAATTCTAGCCATATATGAAAGGATTATACACCAAGTGAGATTTATTGTAGAAATGCATGTTCATTTAACACCTGAAAATCAATAAAGGTAATGTGCCATCCTATATAATAAAGAGGTAATATGCAAATTAACCGTCACACCATCACAAGATGGCTGCCTATGACCAGGCCTACAGGGGCAACCAAACAACTGAACAAGCAGGCTGCATGGGGCAACCAGGCTGGCAGGGGGGCTGTGAGGGGTGACCAGGCTGGCGGGGGGGCTGTGAGGGGTGACCAGGCTGGTGGTGGGGAGGGGAAGTTGGGGGAAATTAGGCTGGCAAGGGGGGCAGTGAGGAGTGACTAGGCTGGCAGGGGGAGCAATTGGTGGCAACCAGGCCAGCAGAGGGGGCAGGCAGTTAGGGGCGACCAGGCTGGCAGCAGGGGGCAGTCAGGGGAGACCAGGCCAGCAGGGGGGGTGGGCAGTTAGAGGTGATCAGGCTGGCACGCAGAGGCAGTTAGGGGTGACCAGGCAGGCAGGCAGTTGAACAATTAGGAGCCAGCAGTCTAAGATTGTGAGAGGGATGTCCCGGATTGGAGAGGATGCAGGCTGGGCTGAGGGGACCCTCGGCCCTAACCCCCATGCATGATTTTTGTGCACCAGGCTTCTAGTATTAATAGAATAAAGGACAAAATTTTCATGATCATCTCAATATATATGCAGGAAAAAATTTAACAAAATCCAATACTTTTCAATGTAAAAATATTCAACAGACTAGGAATAGATGAAAACTTCCTCAACGTGATAAAGGGCATCCATGAAAAACTCACAGCTAA